TGTGAGTGTGTGTGTGTGTGTGTGTGTGTGTGTGTGTGTGTGTGTGTGTGTGTGTGATTACTGCTGGAGATGTTTACAGTCTGATTGTAGGTGATTGTGTTTGTGGTTATCAGTGTTTATGATCATCTCGTCTGGCAGCTGCTCTTTGGAGCCAGGATCCAGCACACTGAAGGTACGAACAGCGCCCGTCAATGCCGTTCGTCCGGGGGCCATCGGAGGGCTGCTCTTTGTTTGCGAGCAACTGCAGCCCCAAAGAGAGTCTTTCTACAAAGATGGCGCAGGTCAGAGAGAGAGAGAGACACACACACAGAGAGACAGAGAGAGAGAGAGAAAGAGAGAAAGAGAGGGCCTCCGTTATTCCTTCACGAAAGAGAAGAAAAGCGGAGAAACTCCTTCATATCACACCGGATTGCGTTTGATACCGGAGCGGACTGAATGCGTTCACACACACACACACACACACACACACACACACACACAGGTGTTGTATATGGCTCATAGCTCATTTCATAAACCGATGATATCGATGAAGTGAATCGGTTTGTTTTTACCGTTACTCGGACTTTATTTTGCTCTCGCCTCTTAATCGTCACAGCTCATAAATAGCTTTGTATTTACTGTTTACCAGATAAAAAAGTTGTTTCACTTATTTAAATAAATAATCTTAAACTACGGCATATATGGCGTTTTTCACCTATTTAGCTAAGCTGGATCGGGCTAGCTGTCCGAAAAAATATTAACTGCAGATAATGCTTTTAAAGTTATAAATAGTGGGAATTTTTCTCAGAATGTAACTTTAATGCATTTTCTTTGGCTTTTGGTATATTTTAAAAGCATGTTTCATCCCCTCGTTTGACTTTTGTATTAGCTTTAGCTGTTTGGCTAACTTGTTTTCACTTTAGTTTTCAAAGCGAATTAAAATGCTAAAACTCAGTAAAGCTGGTTAACTGCTAGCGACTGTCTGATGTGTGTCCATTTGTGTTTCTATAGCCTATAAACATGTTTTTAGGAGTAGTGATTTAGGAGATAACTGACTGTTTAAACACGTTCATTGCTGGAGTAATGTAAACACAGGGTGATGTCAGATGTTTGTGTAGATAGTCTGAAGAATGTCTCGAAGCCTCCTGAGCTGGCTAACTAGACAGCATGAGTGGGTGCCACACTGAGACAGTTTTCTTCGTCTATTAACCAGAGTATTTGTAAATGTTCCTGTGATGTCCTGTGGGTTTGTTCTACCTCTTAATCACTTTTGTCACATGCACTTTTGAGGTGGACATGACTGCAGACTTCAGTCACACTGGGTGGAATAATTCTGCTTTGTCTGAAGGCACGGTTATTGTCACTGGCATCGTGTCACCTTCAGTAAATCAGGGAGTGTTGCTTTATTGGCACCGTATATGAATCATGCTTAAAGTCAACGTGAAATGGTGTTTGCAGTCCATTTTGTGTTTAGTAGATGCATATTAACAAATAAATCATGTCAGCTTTTGTTTCATGTTCACTGTAAATGCATGAATTGTAAAAACTCAATCTGCATTTATGGCATATGAATGTGCATCCATCTGTTTTTGCTTTTCTATGCACACACTCAGTTTATGAAGGAGCTGTAAATTGAATTGTTATAATTGTACAATATTATCATACAATATTTTCACTTATATAGTTTTTTTGTAAATGCTAAAAAATAGTAATTCCAACAGATTTACCATCAATCTTTGCATCTGACATGTCATCTCTAGAGCGGGCATCTGATGCATGCTCACTACAATAATGTTGTCTTTGGGACGGGAATCTGAAGCATTTCTGTGACCCCACACCGCCTGTTGTCCCGGCTTAAAGAACCGTTTCTGAAGATCATGTGACACTGAAGACTGGAGTAATGATGCTGAAAATACAGCTGCGCATCACAGAAATACATTACAGTTTAACAGAGATTCACATAGAAAACAGCTGTTTGAAATGATAGTAATATTTCACTGTTTTTACTGTATTTCTGATCAAATAAACACACCCTTGGTGAGCAGAAGAGACTTCATTCAGTAGAAACTTTTAAACAACGTGTATTGGAACAGATGCTGTTGTTGTTCTTCAGAAATTACCGTCATAGAAGTGGTTCATATGACTCTATATTCTAATGCAAGAAATATTCAGTATTTCTCCTGAACTCATGCAGTGGCTGTATGTCAGGAAAAGACCAAAATTAAAGTCATTATTCCACTGAAAAGCTTCCCATTTCACAGCAGCTCACAAATCTTATCCATATTCATACTTCACACGATTGGTCAAGAGATACACCCACAACCAATCGAATTTGGAGTCACTGACGTCAAAACTGGTAAATAACGACTTTAAATATTGTTTTGTTATTGTTAGGGGTCACCAGTGTCATTGTTGTTATATTGGCCGATGCTGATAAGCTGTTATTATTTTCATGTTATTGCTGATAACCAATAAATGGTTATATTTAATGATACGGTGTTGTCTAAATAAAATGAAAACAGTAACAACTACAATCAGTTTGTCACCACATAATGTACAGCATGAAAAATGGATATTCATTTTGTAATTTGCTAAAGATTACACACTGTTTTTAAATATTGACACTTTCAGAATCAGTCTTGAGTAAATGATGACCGAATTTTCTTTTTCAGGTTAACTAACCATTTAAATGGGTCAAATGAATCTGTATCTGTGCAGTGAGCTCCAGAATCCGATGTCTTCTTCCTCTTCGGATGCTTTTGTGTGCTGGAATCCAGTCCTGGCTTCTATTGCACTCATTAGTTTTACTGGCTGATCTGAAAGGGAGCTTTGCCGGTTTTACAGCGTGCTCCACCTTTCTCCTGCGGCTCCTTTCTCCGAATGGAGACGGTGCCTGTCCACTCGGCAGGTTTATGATCCCCGTGTGTCTCCGAGGAGCCTGGAGCGCCGGGTATTTATAAAGAACAGCCCGTCATGTGCTCTGACACACTAGCAATTAGCAGAGCCTCGGGCTGAGAGAAAATCTGCCAGAAAAGTTGGTGTTCAAGCATCGCCTTTGACGGTTTACTGGCCGTTCTCTCTGAAGGCTTATTAGCGCGTCAGCTTCAGTCAGGTTTTGGAGTGTCATAGAAAAGCCGTCTCCGGCTCTACTTACGGCCACAGACTGCGCTGCTCCCCGACAGGCCTCGGGAAACAGAAAGTGTGGAGCTGTGTGTTCCTCTGTGATCGCCAGCCGCTCACAACTGGGCCACTGTCAGTGAAACACCAGTTCGATCTGGCGTCCTATAAACCTTGCTAGAAGAGTCATCCTGAAGTAATTGTTATCTGTTGTGTGTACAGACACCAGACTCTTCACTATTCGTTAAATATCCACTTTTTTCCTACAACCTATGATGCTTTTTGCATGAGAGTAACTTCTGTTAAACTGTAAACAATCAGGGAAAGATTCACTCTGTGAACGCAATAGTAAGGATTTTCACAAACTGAACACGGTGAGGTTTCATTATTCTACTCACCTTCAACCATCCAACATTAAAAGGAAATCTAACAGTGTAAAAGCATTAAGAAAGGACTACGACAGACCATGAATAACCCCAGAAACTCCTCTGCAGTTAAAATATGTCTGTATTATGTAACATACATTGCCTTAATCCAAAATGTTCATTAACATTAACACTGAGTGATAATATTTCACTGATTTCCGTCATTTTGACAGATAACAATCATTTACCTGCTTTAGAAACATTCACACTTCTAATAGGGATTAGACGAGAACGACAATTACGTTTTAAAGCATCCGTGTGAAAACAAACCTGGAAAGAGACGTGAGGATTTGGGGAGAAAAAAACAGAGATTCTTCAGTGCATTCGGAGAATTATTGATGGCATATATCATAAATTAAACCACAAACATGCAGTATATGTTGTCTTTTTCAAATTGTTACAGTGAAATCCAAAGAAAAAAACATTGAAAACAATCAGGCGACTGAAAAGAGCTCTTTAGATATCCTTGTTAAATCATATCATAGTAAAATACGTTATTCTCCTGATGTCTGAAACAGAACATAGGAAAATTGACAGCTCATTCAGTCAAATATGGATAAGGATTTTTTGTAGCACAGCCTCATGATGTGAAATGATTTGTTTCATTCTTTTTGAGTGGAACGTCCCCAAACATAATCTAGAATACAGTAGGCTTGTTAGGAAAACAGTGGATACTTGGCTAATGACCTGTGAGTCGTCTGTTTCTTCATGAGATGCATCTTTTAAATAAACCTGATAATGTGTTCATAAAGAGGACTCTGTTAGTGAAATATGCTCACTGGGGTGATTTTCTTTGTTTAGCTGTTTCACATTGGAGTCTGCTCTAACTTACTGCAGCATACGTCAAATATACATTCTCAGAAAAGCTCACTGAATTTGGAAACTCGTCACATGCTCAGCACGCTTGCGTCTCTCTTTGTTTGTTTATAGAGGATCATTTACTCACCCTCATGTCATTTCAAACCCGCATGAGCTTCTTTCATCTGTTGAACATTAAAGAAGATCTTTTGCAGACCAAACAGTCGACGGTAGCCATTGACTTCCATAGTATGGAACAAGGAGT